TTTTTTTTTTTAAGTTGGAGTCTCACTCCGTCACCCAGGCTGGAGTGCAGTGGCATGCTCCCGGCCGCCGCAGCCTGATCCTCTCGCCTCAGCCTTCCAAGGAGCCAGAACTACAGGCGCGCACTGCCACGTTCACCTTACTTTTGATTTATTGTAGAGACGAGGTCTCGCCGACTTGCCCAGGCTGGTCTCGAACCCACAGGCTCAGGCAGTCCACTTGCCTCAGCCTCCCCAAGTGCTGGGATCACAGGCTGAGCCACCAAGCCTGGTCAGCAGTGTCGTTTTTAATGAACAGTGTAATGGAAGAGACCAAGTGACGAGCCAAACTTGTCAGAAGACGTGTCCCCTCCAGTCAGCTCTCTGGAGCCTCAAACACATGCTGTGAGGAGGTCGGGCCAGAGCCATGGCCCAGGACGTCTGTGACTCAGTTGATGCCCAGGGAGCAGAGAGCAGCTGTCCTGGTGGAGCCCTGTCCAGCTGTGGGTCTGTGTGAGGAATAAATGTCGAAGCCACTGGGTTTCTAGATGATTGGTTTTGTAGCAGTACATGTCAGGATTAGTCTGGGATGTCAATACCACTCTGATGCAAACTCATCGGAAAGCCTTCATTTCTCCATTTGTTAAATGCCATGCCTGCTTCATGTGCTTTGTAAAGAGTTTTGGCTTCCTAGGTGAAAAAGCTAAAGTAAGGTCACCAGGGCAGCTAGGTGGAGGGATGAGGAGAGTGGCAGTTGCTGGCCAATACAGGCAAGGAGAGAGAACTGGACAACGGAGGCTGAGGCCTCCCTCAAGGGCTCCCATGTGGCATAGCTGGAAAGTTCAGGGCCTGCTCATCTGTCTACTCACGGGGGCTTATCATGAGCCCATATGGGCCCCACACCGAAGAGATGGCAGTGAACCAGGCTGTCGGTCTGGAAGAAGAGGACTGGGCAGGACTGACCAGGGCCACCATGTGTACAGGAGGGTTGAGGGAGGAGGCTGGATACCTCTCTGGTGTCTCCTGCAGTTTCCACCTTGCGTGTGGACCTGCGTGCTCCTGTGCTCCTTTGGAGAAAAAAAGGTGGAACTCTGACTCAAAAAAGTCAGTGAAAAATCATTTCGTTTTAAAATGTTAGGTCTGGCTAGGTCCTCTACAAATGGAGTTTAAGTTATGTATCTTTTATGTTTGGAGAAATGAACATGAGGAGGTTAAGACAGCCACACTAGCACTATTCATGTGACCGTCTCCATATTTAAATATGAATTTATTTTTAATTTTTTTCTTTTTTTGAGTTGGAGTCTCGCTGTCGCCCAGACTGGAGTGCAGTGGCCGCTCTCGGCCACCACAGCCTCGACCTGCCAGGCTCCGGCGATCCTTCCGCCTCAGCCTTCCGAGTAGCCGGAATTACAGGCATGCGCTGCCACACCCGGCTGATTTTTTGATTTATTGTAGAGATGAGGTCTCGCCTGCCCAGGCGGGTTGTGATTTAATTTTTTAATAGAGTTGGGTCTGCCATTTTCCCCAGGCCGGGTCTCGAACTCCTGGCCTCAAGTGATCCTCCTGCCTCAGCCTCCTAAAGTGCTGGAGCTACAGGCATGAGCCACTGTGCCCAGTCTGTGTCTCTATTTTTAAAAGTCAAATTCCTTGTCACTGTAATGTTACTTTTGAGAAATGACACGCACAATGATGGCCAGTCCTCTTGTCTTCACATCTGCAGCTTGACCGTATTAAAGTGCAGGCATACAACTTAACAGTCACGTCTCCTAGCCAAAACAGTACATTTGCTCCAGGGAATGGACTTAGGGTCTTGTGGAAAGTCCTAATTTTATTCTTTAGATGTTGGTGGATGTGCATTCTCACCCAGAAAACTGTCAGAATCTGGACTGGGTAATTCTTGGCTGACGTCGACAAAAGGCTCTTTGACACCATATTCTTTCAACTTCTTTCAGGTCAAACGTAAAGACCAGATTGTCCACTGTGAGTAGACAGTGGGGCTGGAGCTTTCTGAAATGTGTCTCTCCAGGCTTGGCACTCACCCGCAGTCCACTGGCCCTGGCGCCAGAGTTCCCACAAAGGCGACACCCGGGGCTGCCGCCACCTGGTGCCCTCACCCAACACTTACCCACGCACACAAGTGCACACATATGCATGCACAGCACACTCACACAGTCACATGCACACATGCACAGGAGCACATGTTCTCAGGCCCACTGGCTCTTTATAAGCAGCTTTACCTGTGGGAACGTTCAAGTGGATAGGCTAAATGTGTGGCAGGACCCAGCGGCCTTTGCCAGAAGCAAGTCAAGGCAAGGAGGAGGGCTTTGGCCAGGGCTTCCTGGTCCCTGGGTCCGAGGAGTGGTGAGGCTCAGCAGGAGTTTCCAGCATTGTCCCTGGCTGGAGGCGTCCCGGAGGAAGCACCAGGCTGCCCTCTGGGAAGCCCCAGGGTCTGGCGGATGGTGGCCGCAGTTCTGGCCGTCCTTGGGTGCAGCGTCCTCACGCCAAGTGGCACTGGTTTTCGTATGTCAGGGGTGGGTCCTGCTTCACTTCGTGACGCATTTGCAACCAGGAGTGTCTCCAGTGCTTTCCCCCTACATCCTCCATGGAGCCATGTTCTCTGACAGCCCACCTCTGTCATCGTTGGCATCTGCTGCAGCCCCTCGAACCGGAAAGCTCTGCCTGTCGGCCTTGGGCGCGCCCAGTGCTCTCAGCATCACCTCTTCCTTCTCCCGCTCCCCAGGGCCGAGGCCAGCAGACAAGGCCGCCCAGCAGGCGCTGCACACACTCAGGCCGCCACGGCGGCAGGAAAGCACGCCG